CGAAAAGTGTGTTCACATTCATGTATAAAAGGAGTGTGTGCAAGAAAATATAACACCAGGAGCAGCAGCAGCAATGAGACAGCACCAGGCCATCTCGCCCTACCTCATCATATATATACCCATATCCAAGCACAAGAAATCACCATACCCAGATCCATAAATCAATCCATAACCATAATGCATCCTCATGCGTCTACCTCAACCCAAACCTAAGAAAGCCCGACGGCACTAACCAAGAACTGCGCGGCGGTCTGGGCATCGCTTCCATAGGACAAGTGAGCCATGACATTGACGCCGTTCTCACAGACGGGGTCACCGACGGCGCAGAACTCCTTGACCTTGCTGGAGGCGAGCTTGCCGACCGAGGTCATCTTGAGCGGGTCACCGAACAACACAGCCGCCTGGATCTGGCCCGCGCTCAAGGAGCTGGCGGCGTTGTGCACCACCATCGAGCCCTGCGAGTAGCCGCCCAGCACGACCTTGGTGTTAGGGCACTGGCTCAGCGCCTGCTTGACCAGGCTGGCCATCTTGGGCCCGCCGGAGGCGCCCATGTTCATGTTGCCCTGTTTGCACAAAATAATTAGCCTTGCGTGATGAAAAGGATTAGGATGAATGGAGGAAGACTTACGGCCCAGTCGGCGGGGTAGTCCACACCCTGCACTGTGACCTTGTTGCCGGTCAGCGACTGCAGGGCCGAGGCGACCTCGGGGCCGACCACGCTGCCCATGTTGCCCATCTCCGTGGTTCCACGCGCGAAGATGAAGGTCAGCTCCTTGCAGCCGGTGTTGGAGGTGACTCCGTTCTGGGTGCTAGAGCCTAATCGGGATGAGTATGGTGTATAATGAAGGTTGCACGAAGAAGAAATGGAAGCTTACCACCCATGACGCTGCTGATCATACCGCCGAGCCCATCGCTGCTACCGGAGGAGCTGGTAGTGCTGGCACTGCTGCTGGGGAAGAGCGAGCTCAGCGCACTCAAGCCACTGCTGCTGTCAGTGCTGCTAGTGGTGGTGCCAGTAGTGCTCCCACTGGCGCTGCCGCTGGTGTCGGAAGAGCCGGTGGTGCTGCCGGTCGCCGAACCACTGGTAGGGAACAGCGAGGCTAGAGCACTCAGGCCACTGGATCCAGAGGATGTGCTAGAGCCAGAGCTGGATCCGGACAGCAGAGAGGAGAGATCGAATTGACGCCCGTGCAGAGTCGGGGTCGGGGCAGCCAGCGCAGTGGCAAGGAGAGAAAGAGTAACGAAGGACTTCATGATGAAAAGATCGACAGCAACAAACGTGCAATTGGAACGAGAGAGATAGAGCGCAGCTCTGTAACGAAGGAACAACCTGAGTGAGGAAAGAGAGAGGAAGTGCACTGCACTGGTCGGAGTGGATGGATGGATGAGCTGGACTGGACTGGACCGACCAAATTCTCGTGAAAATCTCCCAACCTTATACTTTCGTTCAAATCCTCAAAATTGAGACCCTTCACAAGTGAGTTGAGCTGACCAGCCCGCGATTGGATCGGGCGTGTTTCATCTTCCACCGAGGCTGTTCGAGAAGCTCGGTTCACATCGTTGGGAGGTGGCTCAACACCGGGCTGAAAGGCCTGAAACCGTGCGGTTGATACATCACAATCCACGGTTAGCCGCAAATGTCTCACCCTGCGACGTCGCGGGCGAACCGTTATGTGTCGGTGCAGCAGCCAGACCGGTAGGATGACTGCTGCCAGCCTGCCAGTCGGGGCGCTCGGATCCCAAGGACAGACCCTTTCCCTGACCAGGGTCTGTTGCCGATAGATGAACGATCGTCCCCCTCCTTCCCCTGGGGCGGTGATCGTGTTCCTGGACGGGTCCTCTCTCCGGTGGTTTAAGGGGTTCATTAGGGCTACTACTACTAGGGATTCCTGCGTACCCGCAATCGCCCAATTTTTGAGGCCTCTTTCCCCAATCGGGCAATCGGCCCGCCCCGGCAAAACCTTCAACCTGCACCAACTGGCATTAAATTCCTTCGTGGATGAGAGAGATCAGAGATCAGGTTCAACGGCTGAGCCTGTCCTCGCTGATACCTCGGCCAGCCTGTCATGCAAAAGTCTTGTCTGTTTCAGTTGGACAGTCCTTCCATTTCGGATCCGTGGATCACCAGCGGCTGTACCTGAAGCATTTCAAGCAAGATGGGCCAGACCACGGTAGATACATCATTCTCGAAGGATGGTGATCTACACAACTGTGAGATGCATGATCCAGCACCAGAGCGCGAAAGGAGATCTACCTCGGTACCGCTCGAAATCACAGCCTTGGCGATTTCTCGAACGGGATTTGAGGATCAACACTTGACATCATGAGCACTTATCAATCTAGAGGTAAGTACCTTTTCTGGGCCCAACAAAATACATACTTTAGACACTTGATATCTCTGACAAGCTTTCCTCTTGTGCCCGGCGGTAGTCCGCTGGGACGAATGGCCTAGCCTAGATTGTCGATCCCATCTCAATGTCTTTCCGTCCTGTAGAGTCTGCTTGCCGAACCAAAGCACTTCCATTGTGGATAGGCAACAGAGATACATAGCCCTGGGGCTGTCGTGAGTTTCAGCACCAGGGTCCACAAGGCGGCTGACAAGCCAACTGATGTCTGAACGTTCCGTAGCTGAGAGTCCAGACTTTCCCGGGTCGAAAAACTGCTCTTGTGGTTGTTGACCAGTGGGGACAAAAATGTGACTGCAAGTTAGATCTACAATTCATGCATCGAGGGCCTAGACTTAAGTAAAAGGGTGAATGCTTTGAGTCCACTATGACAAATGCTAGGCCTTGGTGCGATATCTGGTCGTCGGAATACTCTGTGCAGGCATCACGTTATTAAATTACATGCCAGATCCTGGGCTTGTACAACGACAGATACCACTTGAGTCGCCCGCTGGTAACGCTATCTTAGTCAGGCACTGTGTGGATGTAGAATGCTGTGTTGAACAGCGCACTGCCTGGTGTGCTGAATGGTGTGTAGTCTGTAGCCGGGTCCGTGGTCGGCTCAATTCGGTGGTAAGAGAGCACGAAATCTCTGGTACATCATCTCTGCAACCTCGTTAGAACGGTTTTACCGATAAAGTTAAGTCATATGCAAGGCATGAGTTCACCCTCTGTTCAAGAGTAAAAATAATTGAACAAGGATGCTGGTGAGGCGGATATATATCTAAGTCATTCGGACCGCACACATTTACACACTGTCATCTGCGCACACGCCCGGTTGCAGAATACGACATTTTCATGATGAATGCAATCCTCAAAACCTTAGCTATGAGCTGTTTATTCCTCTCGATCAACTGTTATGTGACTCGGTCGCATGTTCAAACATCTGTGCGAATATCAATAAGTTTCTGATTATGGAGTTCAGGAGCTATCCAAGTGATTGAGAAGGAGCTGAGCGTCTTTGCGAATCGCCTGGGCGGTCGCCTTGTTGGGGAAACGGCGTATGCTTAAAACTGCTTGGGACACCGTAATCCACTGAGAATGACAAGCAAGAGCTCCGAATGGCGCTATCACCAACCCAGTATGACATCAAAAATCGTACCTTTCCATAAGAAGGCATTTGAAGTGACGAGATGACCAGCAGATCTCAATCTTCAGCCCCCGATATGTTTCTCTTGCTTTGTTGGGGGATAGGTGGAACTAGTGCAAGGTTGAAGGCGACGAATAACGCTGAGCTTGTCCTGGCCCTTGCGTAATTATCATAGACCTTGTGGACGATGATCGTTGGAATAGACGATAGCAAGTTCAGGTCTTGTGAGATTGTTTGTCTCACCTCCTGTACTCGACGTACAGCTGATCCATGTCCGCCTGCTGCAAGGCTCAGGTCCCAGGTTCGGGCACTGGAATCACAAGAGCCTCTAGACTCTCTCCTGTGACGGAGAAGATGCAAACATTTGATTCCCACGTGAGAAAGTCGAATGAGGTGAGCGAGTCATCAAGAGGAGTTGGCCCTGGATCAAGCCGTGGAATGAATGTACCCCGGACTGGGTCTTTGTCTGCCGAATGGAACCTAGCCACGAGCCCTAGCTGCAGCAGGTGAATATTCGCTTCACAGGGAAAGATATCAGTGTGAAACAAACACGAAGCCAGCAGCCATGAGCTGTGTTAGCAAGCTACGTTGTACAGGGTTGACTTGTTTGATTACATACTGTGGTTCCGAAGTCTGGCTCTTTTTCTTCCTAAGTCGGGTGATTAGGCGATATCTCTGTATTACGTCGCTACGGCCTTCAATTCATTCATACCTTCCTCCCTCGATACTGGTCATTGCCAACAGAATTCTTCTATGAAGTAGCCAGAGTCAAGAAGTCCAAAGTGGTGGCCTGACCCCAAAGCCCGAGGTAAACTACAAAGAAGGTTACATCGTTCCCATCTCAATCTCCTCTTCTTTCGTTGAATGTCTCACCCTCCAAATTAGCCAATTGGATGATCCGGGACTAAGAGGCTTATCTAGTCTTGATTCGGCTAAGCAAACCCCGCCCCTTGGAAGAAGCTGCCGACTCCGATCCCCAGATATTACGGCCAGTCACTTCGAACATACAAATCTCACCTGCTGATACGAGTTCCCCTTGGACGCCTTGCAGCAGTTCTCGAACAGATAATACGAGCGTATTGTTCCACAAGAACAGAAACAAACCTCAACCCCTGCCTTCCGGGCGCGCTGACGATTCGTTCTTGGGGAATTGTGGCGGCGGCTATGGACGCATGTCAGCATAGTCCAGCCCGATTCAGGCAGTTTGGGGAAATCCCTTCAGCACAGGCGCGTCTTATGACGATCTGGATCTGGCGGTAAGGAGGAGAGGATTTTCTGGAACAGGTTAGCCTGGTAGATTGGTTTCCCATACTACACTACTAGGTAGTATGATTAATGAGCCTAAGGCTGACCCTGCATGATTAGCGTCGGTTCAGCCTCGTCCAGCTGAACCCTGCATCCTTTCCCCGTGCGGCTCGACCCTTACGATCCTCGTGTCTGGCCACTGGTACAGTACTATGCCCACTCTACCTTTGCGGGAATTTCCGCAGTCTATAGTAGGACTGTTCTGCAGGTAAGCGAGCGAAGCGAGAGTGAAATGGGCGCCTCTCACTGGGAACAATGTGGGGGCTGTGACGGACAGCTGTAATGGTTTTGAGTGCCCTCATCTTGCCTGAAAATCTACATAAACCTCTGGATTGCGCTTTGAAAACATCCTCTCATCACTACCATCATCATCATCCCCATCTACAAATCTCTACATCGAACCATCATCCCTGCCCACCATGCACTTCCTCAAGTCCACCGCCGTCCTCCTCGTCTCCGCTCTGAGCGTGTCCGCCACCCACTTCCACAACAACTACGGCAAGAACGGTTGGATACAGGACAACCAGGGCTCCGACATTCAGCTAAAGAACGGCGGCTCCGTGACCATCGGCGGCGGCTGGGGCTTTTTCTGGGTTGACAGCAGCGTCTGCTCCAAGAACTCGGTCACCTACACCTGGCCCTCGAGTTACGGCGGTATGTTCTTTTCTTTGCCCTCGTGCTTTGAGCAGACACTGATGATGCGGTCTAGATGTCTATATCCACAGCGATGGTTTCTTGTACGATGCTAGTGGTAAGTCTACTGGTGTTCGCGAACGTTTGGGATGAGAAGTACTGACTGTGGACTTCAGGTTATCAAATCTCCGGCGGTGCTCACATCTGCGGTTAAATATGTGTTTCGAGGAGTGAAGGCTGCGATGTGAGGGAAATACGAGATTGGCTAGGAAATGTACATGCTGATATGTCCGTCGAGGGGGCTCACTTGAAGACAAGCGCAGCGTTTGTTACATCGCTGTCGTTAATCTGCAAGTTATGGGCAATGCCTTTCCTGAATATAAATCCGTGTCTTTGACCTAGATATGTCGACTTCGTAGCAAGAAATTAACGAAACCGTCACCGTCCTACTATTACTTCTCCTGGTAGAGTATCATGCCAATCATCGAGGATCTCCTCAACTCTTACTACCTTGACAATGTACATGAGTTCAAGTTCCATCTCTCACGGAGATTATTTCGACCCTTCATAGTCTTATTTCTCTATATGTATCTGTGGTCAAGCATACTAATCTTCTCTTCCACTTCCCAGGCCCCACCCCCCGACCAAACTCCCATACTTCAACGTGTTGACCGTGGCCGCCCCCTGCCCCAAAGCCGGGGAGACGGTCAAAATCATCCTCGAACAAGCATCGCCCCCCTGCCCCGTCGTCCCCTGGAAATGCTCCCTCAGCACCGTCGTCAGCGGCGACGACCGATACGGGATCCTGGCCGCCCTCACCGCCCTCGCACGAATCACCTCCTTCAGCGCGAGCAGATCCGTGTTAATCTGCCTGCCCTCACGCTGCTCCTGGGGAGACGGTTTCGGCCGCGGGACCGCCGCAATAGTCTTATCCTGGTAAAACTCCGACCCCGCCAGATCGACCAACACCAACTTGCCCCCAAGGCAGGAATGCGATGCTGTCCTCATTACCTCCTCCACTTTCCTCACTGCATCATCGACATACCCCTGGAACTCAGCCTTCTTGGCCTCCGCCTCATCAATCCTCGCCTGGTTCACCTGATACTCAGGATTAGGCACGTACTTCCCCCTCTGCATCCTTACCCAACCCCTTCAAACTTTCCTCAAGATAAACATCCGTCGCCCGCTTCGCAACAGGCACGAACTCCGTCTCGCACTCCACGACCGCCTCCCGCGCTGCCAGCAGCGCGCGCGACACAATCTCCACCTCCAGCACGGCATGCGTCCGCGAACTCAGATCATGCACCGTCGAAGACCCTGTTGCGCGCAACGCCAATCCACCACGGAGATGCGCGAGGAGCTCATCAAAGCTCCAGCACGCTTTCGTGGCGATGGGGTGCACCCTCACGCGGCCGTGCTCCAGCACCTCCGTCTCCCCCCGGATGTGCGTCTTCCCGTCGCCGCCCTCGCGGATGTGGCATTTGCTGTGGCCGTTGAGGCGGTCGAAGGCTACGTTGCCGCGGAGCTCGTACATGCGTGGGTGCTTTTCCAGGGACGGGCTTGCGGACTCTGCGGGGAAAGGGGTATTGCTATGCGGCCGTTGCTGGGGTGGGGTTCATAGTTGCGGGTGAGTTCGGTGGGGTCGGACGTGTCAAATGGGAGGGGGCGCCAGCGGATGAAGACGGAGAAGGCTTGCAGTTTTTGTGTTTGAATAATGAGATTGAGTAGTTGATGGTGTTGGTGATGAGAGAAGAGATTTCGGGTTGAGGAGTTGAGGTTCTTAAACATTTGGTCCTCAGGGATACCGGACATTCGGGGATGGGGAAGCGATAATGGTCACGTGTCGATAGTCTCTCTTATATCTTATCTGATGTCGCTATAGTACGGAGTACAGTTGACAGGATTTGGGAGCCTATGGCGATAACCATCAGCTAGATCGATGTTGTGACAATTCTTTTGGCCTAGATGTCGACAATCACGTCCCCGCGATTGTGTCTCGGCAAGATCTTAGTGACGCGCTGCGGAAGGCAAATGTTCCGCAGCCATTACTGCCGACTAATCACAATCACATTCAACAGCATCCCCAGCTGGAATTCGCGGTGGGGCAACTGCGGGCCCTTTACCGCCGTCATCAGGTACAGACGGGAGCTACGGTACTTCCTGTAACCGATCGCTGGTGGACGGTTGACCTCCATGAGGACGGTGTGTACTGTGTATTGCATCGCTTCCGTTTCTAAGAGGCTGATTATTATTATAGATCTTGGTGAGGAATTAATGACATCTCTGGTTGATAAATATGCAAATTGAAAAAAAAAAACCACCCAACAGTAAAATCTATTGTAAGATCCGTCAGTACAAGGGGCGAGGACAATGAAGCTTTCCGGGAGTGATGGTTTGTCCGATTGTCATCCAGCTACCAAGACCGACTGGATCAATTAGACAAAAGAAGAAACCGCCGTCTTCGGCTAGCTTTTGATCGGCTTCTGCCAATTCCCGGGCTTGGCCACGTGGGATGAGGATCAGCATGCTTCACCGGTTGATCGCCACGGGTTGCATTAAAGTGGGTTTCTGATTCATCTTCCACCCTGCCAGTCAAGTTTTCATCGCTCTACAAGAGATCATAATTATCTCAACCATATCGGAGACTGCTGGTCGGTCTTGGTGGGTTCGGATCCTGTATTAATAAAGATGATCAACCAGGATACTGTTAATACCTTGCAGTTGCTAGCACCAGGAATTTCTTGGTCTAATGCAAGAAAGACATATAGGCTGATCCTCAGTGGTCAGATATTCGCGGATTTCAGCAACAGGAAACGAAACATCATATGGGGCCGAATGAAAGACTTTGACGGGCTGATCCCGTCCCTGTACACCTTTTTCAAAGACTTCAAGTATTTGGAAAGTTGTGTATACGGTGTCAAGTGCCTGTTTGGGCCGTCAAATAAATCTGTCTAGGAGAGTATGAGGTCGATTTTTGTTCTGCCCTCAGATGAAGCGGTTGATGAGTGTGTGATCCAGACCTCGGAGTCCACTTACCGGCGTCAGTGAGAAACTCATGTGGAGCGTCTTGATACAGGATACTTACAGGTGTGGCTATATGCAATGCGGCAATGCCCCTCAATGCCCCCTGAGGCAAAGGATGATGACGATCTTCTAGACAAGCCAGCACTTGCTAGGGCCGACAAAAAAGCAATTTACAAGATGGCCGAACTCGCTCATCGGCTTGGGTTCAAGTCTCCAGAAATCAATGCTATTATAGACAGTTCGCCGGACTATCAACTTGCACGGGCTGCTCTCCTACAGGCCAGAAAACCTTATAAGTTCCGGTACAACCCTCAGCAGTTCAATAACTTGGTCAAACAAATTGTAGACTGCTTCACCATAGCGGAATCATATCAGCCCGAGATCATAACTGATCTTCTTGCGGATAGTACCATAAAGCCCCGGGTTCGCTGCGGGATTCCACAAACACGGGCCCATAAGCAAAATAGTCCTTTGCTCTTTCTGGACCTTTTGCAGACTGAGAATACAGGAATTTCCAACACCATTACTAGCCTTTTTGTCCGCCGCTGTGTCTATATCGCCTTTTTGGGAACCCCGCTCGATCAGGAAACACCGAGAACGATCAAAGCAAAGGGATCTCCGGAGACCATGCACAGTCACCACTTCTCGTCGAAGAAAATGCTCCAGCAGCTGAGCTTGATTCCGCTCTGCAAATGCCACCAGAGATGTCACCCCGACAAGAACGAGAAGAGACACAGCGGCAGCGGGCCCGCAAAAATCGGGAGCGACGCCTTCTATATCACCTGCAAGCGCTGAGGGCCGGAAAAAAAGAGCCGAATTATTCGAATGCGACGACGAACGTGGAAATCCCAACAGTCATGTCCATTTGGTGATCAAGAGCCTGTGGACTCGGAATTGCAGAATGTGGACCCCTCAGATCAGGATATGTCAGATCAAGAACATACATTCCAGGCATTTCTCGATACAGTATCTGAAGACGAATTGAGCAGTATTATTCCGTGGATGGAGCTCACATTCCATTCAGTGCCTAGCCCTGATGGCGCTGGAGAGGCAGTTACCCAGAGTTGCTGCACAATGATCTCCGCTGAAACAATTTCTCCTGAACAGAACGTGGAAGATATGCCAGCTTCAGGGTTAGGATTAATCTAGGAATATGTGGCTTTACCTATGACACTTGGCTATATATGAGCTGCATGGCTCCGAAGAAACATCTCACAGCGGCTAGAATAATAAGGAAAAGGATCTGTGCTGTCCTAAGACATATTTATATTATCTTAAGTAGTTTTCCTTAAGCAGGAATTGATATTAGTACATTCACAGGTAAAAAGTTCTGGGTGAATTTAAGCTATAGGAGTACTATATTGATAGATTATTCTCGTGATGAAATATCTCCCGTAAAAGTCCTCTTGTAAGTAAAGAAAATATGTGAGGGTCAATCTAAAAGTAATCCAGATAAAAGGGAGAAAGTCATGTAAAGTATTTCTTTTGAGCTTAAATCTTCTAGAAAGCTTGTCTTACAGCCAGTACCATTATAAGACATGTGTCTTGGGACCTAAACCGTGAAGTGGGGACTTCGTATTCACCCTAATGACTTGGCGGAGGAATTCCCAAGCAGCACAGTGTATCTTTACTTGGTAGCCAATTTGACAATCACAAAAGCGCTGATCTTTAATCGGTTGTAGTCTAGTTGTTGCGGGCCTAGTGGGCTTAATGAGGACGGGCTTCATTGCATGGGAGGCCTTCTTAAGTACCAAACATAAAGTTTTCCTTGGCTACATTCTAGTGTACTTGAACTTAACTTTTTTGCATTAGAATAAATAGGAGAGTGTTGATGCAGAGAAGTCTCTAAGAGTACATTATGTAAATCTGTACAATATCAGAGAATTCTCCCAGATTGTACTCTCTTAAATGGTTTCTTTTTAACCGCTAACCTGGACTTCCTTCTGTGCTTTGTGTTTCTTTTGCGCTTTCTTCTGCGCTGTAGCCTGGGTTTTTTTTGGTGCTTTGTGTTTCTTTTGTGCTTTGTGTTTCTTTTGCTCTTCCTTACGTACCTTGGCCTGGATTCCCTTCCTTTTTTTTCTTTTTTTCTTGGCTTCTTTCTGCGCCTCGGTCTGAACTTTTTTCTTTGCTTTGCGTTTCTTTTGCGCTTCCTTCTGCGCCGTGGCCTGGATTTTCTTTTCTGCTTTGTGTTTCTTTTGCGCTTCCTCATGCGCCATGGCCTGGATTCCCTTCTCTTCTTTTCTTTTCTTCTTGGCTTCCTTTTGCGCCTCGGTCTGATTTTTCTTCGTGGCTTTGCGTTTCTTTCGGGTTGCCTTCTGCGCCGTATCTTGGACCCCTTGTTTGTACTCATTCATCTTGCTTGGGAAGGAATACAAGCTATTCTCCCAGATTGAACTCATTTTCAAGACTGGTCTTTCTGTTTTGTTTGGATTTGGATCCTGTTTCAATTGCCATCGCTGGCTAAGTTCATTTTCTCGTCGTAGGGTTCTGCCGACTACTATGCAAACAAGACAAATTGAAGTCAAGATTGCAAATCTTATCAAAACAACAAGTAATACAAACCATAAGATTGGCAAATCAAGACTGTCCGGGGGAACCTATATAATCTTGTAAGCATCAATGAGTCAAGTGCTATCTTCTGCCGAACCTTATTCTCAACCTGTTCAGTGCCCCTCTTATCAAGGCTATGCTGCCTTGAGCTAGCTACAATATCTCCTGATTGTAGCTTATTCATAAATTTCCCTATAGGTCTCCACCTTATAGTAGACAATCGCATTCCGAATTGCTTTACCCATGTAGAACTTTTGTCGTTAGGCCATATCTCATATTGAAATTCTTCGGCTTCCGGCACAGTAGGATGGACAGTAAGTATTTGTTGAACGGCGCAGTGGCCAAGTAGACCCTGAATAATAGGCTCTTCTATTGATTGGTAGCTTGAAAGACCACTTGGATGTAATCGTTGAGGTGGTGGCCATGAAAGTAGTATGACTTTCTCAAATCTAGCTATATGCCAAGCGAATACTGCCGAGGCACCATGGATGTACTGACTCCATTGAAGATATGTTTTTCTTGGTCTTAAACACAAGGGATTCCTTTTATCCATCAAAGGGCCCATGGCAATGGTTAATGTCTGTAGATTATGTTTGTCAGCCCATTTTTGAGCCTTGTCGAACGGTATGCCACTCCAAAGAACTTGACCGTTGCGAATCCACTTGGACTGAAATTGATTAAATATTTGCACTGTCTCTGCAACGGTCAAATACTGACTGAAGACCTTAGTGAGTGGGACTTTGGCAGGTTGCTGGGCCAATAGCCATTTAGAAATATCTGCAACGTCCATCGTTGATTTTGAAAATCTCAGCGACTAGAAGCTGTAGTAGGTGGAGTAACTAGATAACCACCAGGAAATGAACTAGGCTGTATATCTGAAAGGCGGTCATGTGACACACTGAAGGATAGTTGATGATCTATAACAATATAAGACGTCACTTATGCGGGGAACTGAGGATAAACTGGGTCTAGGCTCGTATCATTGCTGGATCTTTGATTCGGAAGCTATGTTATAATAGATCATCTATAGCTTAATTATATTCTAGCTCTGCTCCAAGATTGGTTTAGTATAGTTTCATGTCAAGGTCACTGAATCACTGTGTGATGGCACCAGTTGCCGGAAGGGCTGTATCATAGTAAGCTTTTATCCTAAATAGAACCGATTATTGATCGCTCCTTCGCGTGTGATTATAGTCTTGGATTTAGGATAATCTTCGTGAAATCCCTTTTTAGACTTGATTCGGTGGCGCGGAAGGGACCGAGAAATGGATGACTTGTGCGCTATGGACAGGGTATGTTGACCTCATCATGACGCCGACATTTGGCGCAGAGTTATGAGCATTTTGCAATGTTTACAACTCGAAGTAATCAACTTCAATGATCTTGAGATGTACTCAATACACCATGGGGATTTCTGATCTTGAAACTATACTGGAAAGTAAATATAAGGATGGCCAAGACTCAGATTTTACAATATCTTGCCAAGGCCATAACTTCAGAGTTCATCGAGCCATATTCTGCGAATAGTAACCTTTTATTGAGGCTGCGTTGAAGGGTGAATTCATGGTAAGTTCAACAATAGCTTTACTTTACTTATAGTTCTCTCTCTCTTATGATTTTTAAGGAAGCAAAAACATTTCACGTCAACCTACCCGTTGATGATGATGCTCAGACTATCGAGTCTGTGTTAAGATTCTGCTACCTCCAGGACTATGGGCAAGATGACGACTTCTTGAGTTTAAATCCAACTGAAGCTGTGGAAGAGCATCTGCGGGTTTATTAGCCGCCGACAGACTTGGCATAATTTCTCTATCGAGCTTGCTGCTACTCGATTTAATAAATGGGCACAAGATGATTGGTGGTGCAATGATTTAATGCTTGCCATAGATATTCCGAATTACCAACCCCAATTCCATGGTGGTTATCAGGTTGTCCTTTTGCATAATGAAATTTTCAGCTTGTTTTTTCGAATCTGGATTGATAAAAGCTCGTATCCGTCGCTATGCAATTATGCCATGTACTTTGTGCATTAGATGCTTGATACTCTGTTGCTATAGTGTGCCATAATATCCTACTACCTTCGCTTCAACATATCTAACGTTGCGCTCATAGTCAACATAGTTGGACTAAATGCCTGAAATTACTTCAGGAGACATTTTCAATGATATAATTTCAAATGGTATATAACAGACGATATGCATTTTCGATACTTAAAAATATGTCATTGGATCCCCGGACTACTGGATTTTCTTTGCTTAAGACTTATTCTGCGCAGACACATCCTCGGAATGATTGTGATTACTTTTACTGGTTTCTAAGAAAACAGTCGAGGAGTGCATAAAAAATATGATAACGAGTTCTGCTATGTGGGTAAAACTAATCTCCATACGGCAGGTGACAAAGATTGTCGATAAGCGCCAACTTAGCGCTTGTTATAAACATAAATCAAATACCCGTTCTTCAAGCATAGTTGGAAGCAGCTGTCATCGGCTTCTTGATTCGGTAGGCTTGAAGATCTGCGCAATTAAGGTTGTAGTGGCTTGGCTCTTAGAATTAATAGATACCTCTAATGCTACTTAGTTTGAATTATACGGCGTCCAGTTCAGAATGAAGTCATATGTTCCGTCTGAAAATAGACACGGGCAAAGTGTTCCCTTGCTTAAGAGGAATGCTGATTTGATACAATGGCGAACTATCGATGTTCCTGAGTTATTCTGCCATTGATTTGAAACGAATCCTCAGGCAAATAAACGTCTCGAGGAGTCATTACATAGCTACAACAACCGACAATCAAAACCCACCGAGAAATATCTATGAACGTCACTTTGTCAGAGAAAAGCAATGCTGAGATGTCGTTCATGGACGATGCTTCACTAAACTCTTGTTCAACCTAGACCTGCATGCGGATCATTCTTCTTGGCTTGCTTACTTGCAGGATTGATGCCAGACTAATAGCATCTGATAAGAAGCTGGGAAGAGCTTGTCCTGAACACGCGACGGTGGCAACTCTTCCTCAGCATCACACGTTCAGCACTTCAATTTACTACGATAGCAGAAGAAGAACTTTCCAAGACAGCGAGTCTTGTGAGCTATTCATTCCCTGAACTCATAAACGCAAGGCTTGTGTTTACAGCCCTGAAGCGAGCTGCGAAACATGACATCCGGCAATACAGTGTGGAGCCGTAACCTCTTTCAAGGAAAGAAAGATAGGTCTCAAGCTCCCCAGAAAAAGATCTAAGAACAGTTTGTGATGCAAAAGATTGTCATCGAGCATTATTGATTCCGCACATCTTCTCAAAGGGAGAAAAGTACCCTGTATGTTTGTTCAGCTCAGTTCCTGCCGCATATCGAATCCCACGACACCTTTCTAACTTGGTATCCAAGTCGCCAAAATTGTCCACAGGTCTTCATCACAATGCATTCTCCCTGAGACTCCCGATTCCAATTCGACTCTCCCCCTCGTACTCAGCAGAACCCTTACCGAGCAGAACCCTTAAGACTATCATAAATTCGAATGGCGCTTTATCCATCATCCAGCCAATTGTGCCAAGACGTGATGTACACGTTCTCTTGTCCGAGCGAATACGGCATCGACTCCATACTTGGGATTGGGGGTTCCCTCGCCGTAGTCCCAGAATCGATTTCGGATTGCGACGGCGAGGTACTCTCCTCGTTTACTGGGGCATCGCCATGGAATTCTGCGGCAAGCATCCGGGTTTCTTCATCGTCGTCGGCATTGAGTGGATGCTCGGAGTCTTGCCAGCGCATGTAGAAAAAGGCTTGGTCGTTTGGGTCTGGCATTGTGGTCGTGAGAATCGTGATAGATGTTTGGGATTGTCTCGTCAGATATAAGCTCGTTAGGTGAATTTCGTGATGTGAAATCGAAGATAATAATCAGCCGGGAGAGTTTAATATCGGGGTGGTAAACATATAATGTGGGTGGTGGCAAGGGTTGCGTCATGACAGGATCATGGCGATGTCGCCTCTCAGTCTAGTAGGGGAGACGCCCGGTGGGAGACTTGACTTCGCTGCTAGAGTTTGTAGAAACTCGGTATGAGTGTGTCAACTTCAGGTTTATCGTTCGCGCACGGCCTGCAGCTGACAGGGCTGTCGTGCCGCGGACCCATCCAGAACCGCGGCAAGCCTCATTCGAGATCAAGTTGAGCGGCCAGGGGATCTCAAGTATTATAGGATTCAAGTGGATCAGATAACAAAGCAACCGGTTTGGAAGCATAGGAGAACCCAAAGTCTAGTCATCTAAACTAAGCATCATCACCACCTGAAAACCTCTTTTCGTACACTCCCAGCATTCATCGTAGCTGAGTAGCTATAATAGACCAGCGCGGTAGGCTCCTCACTATCAAATACGGGCAGAAAGTCCGACACTCGCGCGATAGCAGGCACATCTGCACAGCTCGCAACATTATCTAGACCTTCCTCTTCGATCTCAATCCACTTGTCGACGATTGCCGCCACGACGGCACTGTTCCAAACCCCTTCCTGAACCGCAGAGGCACGAAGCACCCGTACGGCTCGCCGGCGGATGTGAGGATCACGGCATCGCACGGCGACGTTGAACATAGCTGCTATGATGCCGAGGTCGAGAGAGAAGGTTTTAGGAGTCGGTAATGGAGACGAAGCAGCCGGATCTGAGGGAGAAAAAGAAGGATTCGAGGAAAGTCCCACAATGGACTCGCCTAGAGTGACCATCTCTTCGAACAAGGCATAGTATTTATCCCAATCAACATTGTCCCCTGCCTCGGCCTGACCCGCAGGCTCGAAGATATCTAGCGAAACCAAGCAGTCGATCTTCCGTAGCTGGAGCACTGCGAGACCACGCCGCTCGCGGTCCGTCAGAAAAGCATTTCGCTCAAGCAGAAAGTCGTCCAGTGCGGTAGACCAGTGATCCAGCAGGGAGATAGAGACGTCACGCAGAGCAACAGCCGCGCGATTTAACCCATTGACCAGCTCTATGGACTTTGGGAAAGGAGAATATTGCTCCGCCTTTGTACGTTCGTGTTGCAGCTCCGTATTGCGCTGCCGGTAGTAGTACGTGTAGATCTCGAGGGTCTCGCGCGCGTCGGCTAACGAGTGAAACACCATGGGTCTGTCCAGTTCAATGACCAGCTCAGGCCAAAGGTTGCAACGCGCTGCGCTCATGCGGTGTACGGTCTGTAGCGCTCTACGATTAGTAACCGGACGCCTATACTCTGCCGGGAGTGGGCGCCGTACCACTATGATTTGCGCTTGCAGGCGAGTGAAGAGGCCACACACGACGTCGATGGGGACATACGGCATGCGACCTTTACTCAGAGCCGTGGATGTATCGAATGGATTGGCTCGAAGCTCATCGAGAATTTTTAGTCCGCTGGTGATGTGGGTGATGGCCGAACCGTATTGGCCGCGCATTGCCTTGGGCTTAGTTAGTATGCACATCTTCTCACAGGAGAGTAGACAGAAAACCTTACCTCGAAGCAAGCAAAGAGAATACAGGACATTAAGCAGACATCAAGGGGCTGTGAGCCGCCCGGCGCCGGCATCAGACAACGCACGGCGCATAGATACTGTCGCAAAGCAAACGGGTCGTGCATGGTCTGAGTGCCGGGTTGGTAAAGACTGCCCGCATCACGCTCCAGACGCTCATGTAGCGAGCCCAATGCAACCGTGACATGGCGTATCGCCGGCTCGTGGTGCGCAGACTGCAGCAGCAGACGTTCCCAGAAGATACATTCGAAGTCGCCAGCCAGCTGCGGGGCAGTCTTGGCTATAAAAAACTGGAATGAACGGCGCTCCTGGTTCGAGATAAGTAGATCATCACTGAGTGACCGGGGAACGAGCGGCCTTGTGAATGCGTTTGATCGCAATGTCGTGAGGCTGGACGGGGGCGATGGGGGCGATGGGGGCGATGGGGGCGGAACCTCGTAGCCGTCGCATACACGGCCGGTTGAGGTACAGCGCAGACAGTTCGGGCGCTCTTCAGTACACTTGACGTGTCGCTCTAACTTCCTCAGTAAGTCATCGACAGACAATTGTTTCATCTGTGATTACCAATCTCACTTACTTCTAAACTCGGTCAGCAGGGACCCTATCGAATTGTAGGGTGCACATACTTGCAGGTCAAGCAGCCGGTGCGCGTCTTGGGGCGATACGACCGCTTTCGCTGTCCCGGAGCGACTCGGGGCATCGATCTAGCAAGTTGCAGCGGGTTTTGAATCTGTTCATTGAATAGAGCTGACAGGTGAGAAGAGGGGAGTGTGAGCCGATGCCGGCGATGTTATCGATAATCATCTGAGTCACATGTTGCAACTTGACCCCTTCGGGTTAGTCGATCGGAGTAGCCGGCTGAGCTATTTATAGTATCGAGTAACAAGCTTACGGTACCTAATTGAATATATGTCTATTGAATCTAGTATCAAACACATAGGAAAAGGAAAACCAAGACCAGGCAAACGCTGGAAACCCGCACCCAATATTATACACGATGGCAACACCCCTCAGCACTCCCCCAAGCGAACCATATCATCATTCGGCATCTCCCCTTTACTAGTCACACCCATCTTCTTACGCTGCTTCCGACTCGGCATTTCACTGTGCTTACCCGGCATGATTCGACCGGGGTGCACCACATTGAGCAGCACAAGCGCCAACAGCATCGGCAAAGAGTCAAGGCAGTATTGATACGCCTCATGGGCGGGGATCTTACTATCGAGGCCCTGCGCATACTCACACAGTCGGAAGATGATCCGCATCTACTGGTATTTAGTTACCGTTTTTCATGTCAAGAAACAAATCCGTAGCACTTACAGTGACTAGGGCAAGACATGCGTAGAGCACATAGAGCAGGAGTAATGCCTTTTTCGCGTCCGAGCGCCGCTGCCGAAGCAACTTCCGGTGGAAGACCACGGCACAGACCACGAACACGAGGACGAAAAGCTGCTGCACGCCCACGCCGGCCATGTAGATGTGCAAACCCGTCATCTCCGTGCTGTAGGAGACGTTGTTGCCGGCTGCTTGGGCGGCTCCGTAGACTTGGACAATGAATGCGCTGTTGCATTGTCAGCGTCTTTTCATAGAACTTGAGACGGGAGATCATACATTATATCTAGAGCCACAAAGAAAAGACCGAAATGCCAGGGTCGCACGCGTAGGACGCGCGCGTCATCGGTGAAGTTCCACACCATGCGGCCCATGATCATGTAGACGAAGGCGTTGGTCCAGAGAGGCGCGATAAGGATGAGCACAAACCACGCCGCGTAGTCGGTATAGCTGGCAGGATGCAGGATGCTGAGAATGCGGAAAATGTAGGTCACTGTCTGGATGAGACCGGACATGACGATCACCCAGGAGTAGAATTTGCGATGCAGGACCGCCTGCGCAAGGTGGGCGAGGGTCGTCAGGGCAAAAAGCACGGTAAAAAGGTACGCAGCGCCGATGGAGGGACAGAAGGTCCACATCGTGTCTGGCGTGGTTAAAGCTAATAAAATGTCAGGTATCAAGTGCCTTTACAGTTGATTGAAAGGAATACCATACCTCTGCACTGCGTCATGGCGGCGGTGTTTATGAACGATAGCGAGAGAAAAAGGAATAAGGAGACATAGCCTTGGTAGTGAGACAGTTACTTTATGTAGGACATTGTTCTTCTTCCTGCTGCCTGATGAACAAAAGCTGAGTCGTTGTCATCGTGAAGTTTACCTCTAGGGCTGCTATACGATAATTGGTTTGATTGGCCCGCTCGTATGGACACACCAATCATATCGCGCGGTGTTTGTCCGATATGTCCCCACTCAGCAAGCGACACGGGAGTCTGGCCGCCGGCGACCGACTGGAAGGCCTAAGGTAAAAAAGTTTTCGCAGACGACTGTTGTCCTGCGGGAACTCACACCGAGTTTATAACATTTCTCTGTGAGTCTCGATGATGGTCGGGACACGGAATTACTGCTGTGGTCTCCATCCGCAAATCGGTTTCCAGCCCCTCAATCTTCCATGTAGGATAGTCGGATTTAAGTATGGGGTAAGAGGTCCACGAAGCCGAGTTCAATGATACGTTCGTGATGTAATTTTTACAGTGTGTCTGTTTATGGGCCATGTCTTACTTATCAGAAACATTGTTGCGATCATAATCGAAGAAGTGGAGCTGGATATGCGTTCGGATGATCACTCTTTCTGCCAGTTAGCTACATTGACAACGGAATCTACGTCAGTTATCCCTGTGCTACATGCGATGTTCTTAATCTCAAGCCTTTTACTTCCCTCTAGTTCTCTTTCTGTTGTTTTTTTTTTTTTTTTTTTTTTTTTTGA